TAGTCACTTCGCTATTAGTAAAATGGAAAAAAGAAAATACAGGAGGTCGGATTCGGACGATGAATCCAATGAAAATAGAATAACTAAAAAGATAAAACGCCTGTCGAGAGATCTTAAAAAACTTGAGGATCGAATACGGAAGAGACGGGCACGTATAAGTATCAGGTTAATCGAAAACTTGATTGCCATCTTTTTCTATTCCGCCTCGTAAAGAGTGGTCGGACGATAGAACAAAATTCTATGATAGACCCATCGTTCAGGACTTAAGAGTATTTGGGCGAGCAATATTAGATAAGTAAGAAAAAGTTAAATAAAACTGTTTGATATTGCTTATTATCTATAACAAACATTTATTTTATAATTACACAGTCGTAGCCAACTTTCAACATCTACGTCTTATCTTGAAAAAGAGGCGCAAAATACAATTTAATAATTAAACGAACTTACCTGTAAGTGAAGTTCTATCATAATAGTATGAAGCGCTTCTTCCAAAAGATGGGTCCCTCCCTATATCCATATCCGACAATTTCGGATCCCGTAACTTAGGGCTACGGTTGAACTTTGAATAAAATGACGGATTGGGCGCGAACACGAGAGAAGTCCTCTAGGAAGGACAAAAACTTTTGTTTTAACTGTAAAGATTGTGGCGCCTCGACACAGAGTAGGGAGTACTTAAGTACGTGTTATTTTTCGGGAGAGGCGCTTCATACAATTATGATAGAACTTCACTTACAGGTAAGTTCGTTTAATCATTAAATTATATTAGGTAAATAAGCTCTTGGCCACACAATCTAAATAAATATTTTTTTGGATTTAAATAGTTTTTTCTACAGTGTACTTGTGTCAAAGAGACGTTACTGCCAAATATGACTGAACCTGAACTCTCTCTCGATCTAACTTTGCGCAATCGATCCTCTCTGAGGAAGTAAACGTGAAATTACAACAATTTCGAGAAATTTGGTAGGTACAACTCACCCAGTTAAAATTTCTATTGGACTATTTGCATTACAAGAGATGAAAAGATGGAAGGAGAGGTTACTCTCTCTATTATCGATCAGGACGGCCATCGAGAGCCTTGATAAATGTGTATCATGCCGATAAAGCATCGCGGTGTCGTCACGCTTTTTCGCTCATCTTGCGAGAATACAGTGAAAATTATCGGCTCATAAAAATACGAAGTCCTCTATCGATCCGTCGAGGTATAAGTATCGCTTGTATTTTCTCACCTTGACTTTTTCGCAATTATCGAAAAATGAAAAATAATCTAGCTGATATATTCAGTTTTTCAATCAGTATAACAACGAAGAGAAAACAAATGCAGTGAAAAAGGAAGGAAAGATACACAGATGCTGCAATTATTAAAGTTATTAAATTAATGTACGCTTAATTGGCAAGTGGAAAATATCCATTAAGTCGAGAAAACTCCGTATTCGCTAATATGCATAATCGGTTTAAGATTTAAATTTTTCGTGAGAGGTATACGATGCATCCTCGTAAAATAGTTTACTCTTTTGGAAAGTTTTCGCTGGAATATGAGGTTTAATTCGCTTAAAAATTTCAGAACGAGCGATGCGCGCGTTTCGCAGCTTATAAAGAAATGAGAGATCCAATAAAGTCCTATATTATTCGTCAACTTTATAATAAAGATCCTTAGCAGAACAGTTCTTCGCCGTAAAGATTGATACAATGAATAAACGCAACGGACGATTTATCCTGGAATAGAATTACCCGGAATAAAAGGAATTGTGTATGTTCTACGTGTGTGAGAGCAAACATGAAACGGCAGTCTAGTTCTTCCGTTTCCTCGCATACGTTTCATTTCAGGAATTGTTTACCGATTCCGCGCGTTTTCATCGCGCGCTCGCACTTACCCGTTTTATGAGATACGTGCTGGTCCATATCGGGAGAGCTTTCTCTACTACAAAGGTAGCCTTCGTAGATCGTCAGTGATGATACGAAGGAGAGGAGGACGGAGGTAAAAGGGGGTAATTTACCTAACACCGTGATGGAGCTGGAGACTAGCATGGCTAGTAGCCAGACCGCGGCGATCTTGAAGCCCACCATTCGTTTCGTGGATGTGTGACGTGTCCTGAGCGGATTACGGATACCCAGATAACGGTCCACGGAGATGAAGCACATGTGCATTATACTCGCCGAGCACGCGAGCACGTCGCATGTCACGTATACGTTGCACCAGACCACGCCGAACGGCCAATACCCTGAAAATTCGAGAGAGACGAGAAGCTAAGGTGTCAAGTCGGGGCGAAAAAGTGTCGCGTTATCTACTAGACGACCGTCTTAGGTTGTCTATTATTCAGGCGAAAGTTGAAGAACTTATTTTGCAATTGCTATAAGTCCGTATTTTTAAATGGAGAAGATTACGTTGCACATACAAAAGATAACAATTTTATTATAGTTGCATATTTTATATACATATAGTAGTTAAAATTCTCCAAAAATAAAATATATTTGAAATTACATGCGAAATAAAATCATATTTTCTAGTTATATTTTTAATATTTATTTTGCAAAAATAATCGTAAAATTTTATGCGTATTGTAACCTGCATAAAGCAACAGATATGAAATAATATATATCATTTTTCAAGTTTTAATCAGAGAACATTGATTAAAAATCTAGAAAGAAATGCTATATTTAAATTTTAGTCATATTTGAGTTATTAAAATAGCGTGCAAAATACAAATAATTTATGATTAAAATAACATTTAAAGTTATTTATCGCAATAATAATTGATTGTAATTTATGTCTATTCCATTTTACTTTATTTTGAAGACTTATAATTTAGTTTACATCTCTTTTTTATAGAATAGTTCATGTGTGTAAAAAATGGCAGAAGGGAGAATGAATTATTAAAAGTGAATTTTAATGATTCTTTTTATGAGTGATTTTTTTTTTATTGAGATATGACGGGAAAGAATTTAGGTGGAGAACGCATATTGCTCTAGAATCTTTTACTTTTTGTTAGGCGTTTTTAATGCTGCGCTGTTTTCGGAGAGATAATAACGAGAAAATAGGCCAGGGATAAGCCTCATTGCGTAGATAGAGGCTTAGCCAGAACGCATGAAGTTGCGCCGGCGGAACGTACGGTGCACTCCCGTGATGCGATGAATGGGCTACATCAAACGGCGTCAAATGTCGGAAATGCGTTACACAAACCATCACTTTCCTTTCCAACGTGCAAATCCCCCGAGCTGCCGATGTATTTTTATCGCTTCAAAGATTTGCGAAAACTCGAAGAGTCCGCCGATACGTCTGGAACATTTTAGGGGCTGTATTCATAGCTGATCGTGATTCGATTAATGATCGCGATTTCGGCAGTCGGATCTGGAGCGCTTTTACTCCTTACAGAAATTTATAATCTTCCGGAGCGGTTTACGATCCAATGATTTATCATTATTGATGATTATTTTTTTATTCATTTCTTTAATTAAAAGTTAAAGCAAAAAAATATACTTATGTATATATGAAAATGCTTATGTATACATATACTTTAATATTTTTCTACGTTTTTATTAAGTATAAGATATTTAAATATCTTATATATTATATCTAAATATAATTGTTTACTTGTAAAAGCGTTAAATTGTAAAAAGGTAGAATGTATAGCGTATGCGGCGAAGAAAGGCCAGAGAGAGAAAGAGTGCGGTGGAGAGGCGAGGCGGAAAAAAGGGGGAAGAGAGAGAGAGAGAGAGAGAGAGAGAGAGAAAGAAAGAAAGAGAGAGAGAGAGAGAGAGAGATAATTAATACTGTAAAAGGGGGTGGGAGTCCTTTCCATCCCGCACAAAGAACAGAAATAAATAATTACTACTAATAGAATTTTTTATTTTTCCTCACATCTAAAGAATTTATAAACATTTCACAGACCTTGAACTTTTCGTAAAACAAATCACTCGATCACACGTAATATTTTATTATCGGAGAAGTTTACTTAATAAGAGTAAAAAAATAACACTTTCTAAATGCAACAGAATATCTCGTATAATGCAGTAACTCAGTGACAGTATTCCAGGGGTTAAACAAATATTGAATGTTTGTATCATATGGTTTGTACAAACAGCGATTTGCGAAGCAAATAAGATCCGATAATGTCAACAACAATTTATGTATGCAAATCTGTAATTGAGTGCGTCTTTTCAATCACAGATAGAAAATAATCTGCAATATATTATACTGTCGGCTATGAACAACGGTCTCGAGAATTTTATCATTCTGTTTTACGACGTGCGTCTCGTTTTCACCACATTCGAATTTTCCCATTATGCAAATCCTAACACTGTAACCATAACATAGAATGAGTAACATTTAACGAGTCAAACGAACGAGACATCGCGAGTACCTCAAAGCGTAGTTTCTTCCTTTAATCCAACGGCATTGATACTAATAATCCAATTAAAACAATCAACTTAACCGTTGTCTTTTGATATAGCGCGCTGTACTCGTTGTGAGAATTAAGGCGAAAAGCGCAGAATTTCTGAGGACGCATAGTAACCCCAAAAATTTGCATAGTCGCATTATATTAAGATCTCCTCGGAGACTACGTTGCGAGGAATTTCATTAGTAACAGATTAAAGCACGGCTTGATGAGCAGGCACACTGCAATAAGGGCCTAAATACACGCAAGAAAAACGCGAAGAACAAGAACGAAAAGAAGAATAAGTGAAATAAAATAAAGCTAGTTTCGTAGAAAATTCTTAATGTCGACATTCAAGGTAATACGGACCGGCAAACGCAGACCTTCGATATAATATTTATTCAGTAAAAAAATTTTGCGTTAAAAACACATTACACACGTCACAATTTATCCACTCTAATTTTTATGTTAATTTAACAGAAGGCAAATATTGTAAATAAATAACACAAAGTAAGATGTGAAAAATTAACACAAAATTGTAACACATGGATGCTATTTGGAAGCAAAGTTTATGTTAAATTAACATATTTATAATGTTAAATTTAATTAATATAAAATGTTACACTTACATTAAATAGTATTTTCTTTCTTCTCTTTTTTTCTCGTAAAAAACAGAAGACAGCGATATCTCTTTATAATATGTAACATAATAAAATGTCGATATAATATAATATAATATAATAAGATAGAACTTTTATAGAGAGAAAAGAGAGTAACACTTAGGTGCTTATTTTAACATGTAAAATATGTCACCAAGAATTCGTGCATTTACATTTAAATTGTGTTATTTTAATTCTTAAAAACGTTAAATATTAACTTAACGCAGAAAAGTCAAAATAATACAATGACAATATATGTATGTTACATTAACACTAGTGTATGTTAAAAATTTAATATAAATCCATTTAAATATAAAATGTTTTTTACCTTGTACTTGTTCAATATCTGATTGATGATAGTTTTAGTAACAATTAAAATTAAAATATAAATATACCTACACAGTTGGGTGTTAAATATAACAAATCACATGTCCCAAACGGTTCACTTAAATTTTTATGTTAATTTGACATAATATGGATGTGTTAAATAGTAACACCAATATTATGTTAATATTTCAACAGAAAAGAAATGTAAATTTGGTCGTAATTTGAAGTTAATTATGTGTACGATTAACATAACTTTGATGTTGAATATTATGTTAAATCATCCTTACTGTTATGGAGTAAAATCAACACTTTTTTTCTGTAAATTTTAACACATTTAATAAATAAGTTCAAATTGTGTTATTTTAAACTTATTTTTTAAATTATTTTAATAATTTTCCATTTTATATTTGTTAAATTTAATTAATATAGCAGACATATGTTAAATCTACACATGTATGTGTTAATTACTTTACACAAAAACTTTAACCAGCAGTTTTACAAAATTCTTCCAACAGTGTAGCAATTAAAATTAAAGTATAAATACCGATACATGGCGAATCACATTTACAATCATTATTACATATCGTGGATATTGTATCGCATGAATATCTGCGTCGACAGATTCGAATTCGATTATTTAGCAACAATAATATATGCAAATAGAATTCGACAATAGTCGATAAAACAAATAATGTTCAACTAACATTGTAAACTTCAGAATAACAACAAAATAAAACACAAGTAAGACTGAAATAACAATCGAATAAAGAAAAAAAATAATTTAAATGCGCGGAAAATTCGCCTAAAGATAAAGTTCCAACAAGTTAAAATCTCCGTATCAATATTGCATATATTAATTGAGTTTCCATTGAGACAATTTATAAAGAGATATTCCAATTATTGTTGTTGTTATTAATTCCGCGCGTATACTTCTCTCATTCTTTTACCAATTTGAAAAGTTAACGGTGGAAATTTTCCGCGGGTTTCTCTGAAAATCCGCGTGAAGAGAATTGAAATATGAAAGGGAGTAGCCGATAGTTCGCGCATGAAGGCGCGGATGCGGCTGAATACGAAATATTTGCACAGTTCCGAGAGCCGGCGAATTTGTCAATTTTCAACCATAAAGGCCCCGTTACGCGCCGATGCGTATTCCGGTAACAAGGTGCACCGCCACTGTGTACGTGCCCACAATGCACATTCTGCACGTTTTTTGCGGCATGCATTCGCGAAAATACGCGAAAACAAACGTCGGAAATAAACCGCGCAATTTAACGAGTGTAACGAGCGAGCCCAAAGAAAGCGCATGTTTATCAAGCCTGCGATAATTTCAGCACGTTTGTCCTACCTGGATATATTGACGATGCTTCAACGCTATTTTATCACAATATAGTTAATTAAACGTGAAAATAAAAGCGCAATCAGTAATAATAAAGTATTGAGAATATACTGAATATGGTAGACAATATAGTAGTCGAATGTAGTATCAAGATAAATAATTATCAAAAAATAATTTTAAAAAAACATTTAATATTTATTGTTTTATTGCATCTTATTTTAAATAAAAAATCTTATTAAAAAATTTACTAAAAAATTAAGATTTCTTAGTTTAATTAAGATCTTAAGATATACATCCACCTAGAGGCCCGAAAAATAGGTCAAAATTCAGATTTTTTTCAGAAACGATTAGTAGGAATGAAACAAATGTTTTTGTACTCAAAGATACATGTTTTGAGAGCTTTAAAAAAAATGTTTATCAAAACATTTCCAAAAACAAAAAAATTATGGCCGCCGGCAGATGATAATGTTTTTTTTCGGCGGTGGACACTCTCCAGTTGAAACGGTCGATCTGAAATAAAAAAACCAAAGGGGTTATTCAAGTTAACAATAAAAACGAGTCGTTGACGATCGCCGATTTTTTAAATCGATTTTTTTAACAAAATGGCAACAAATTGAAACTTAAATATGGAAAATCTGTGAGACATACTGAGTTTCAATTCGTTGCCATTTTGTTAAAAAAATCGATTTTAAAAATCGGCGATCGTCAACGAATTATCTTTATTGTTAACTTAAATAACCCCTTTGGTTTTTTTATTTCAGATCAATCGTTTCAACTGGACAGTGTCCACCACCGAAAAAAACATCATCATCTGCCGGCGGCTATAATGTTTTTGTTTTTGAAACTTTTTGATAAAATTTTTTTTAAAGCTCTCAAAACATGTATCTTTGAGTTTTGAGTACAAGAAAATTCGTTTCATTCCCACTAATCGTTTCTGAAAAAAAATAAAATTTGAATTTCGCCTATTTTTCGGGCCTCTAGGTAGATGTAGCCCCTTAAATTTACTAAGAAATGTCTTGAAATTTTTCCGACATTAGATTTTTTCCATCTTCTCTAGATCATTTAAAAATAAACTAGATTAACGATTAAGATATTTGTAGTTATATATATTATCTACAAAGTGTCTGAGGGTGTATAATCGAGACGAATTTCGGGACGATTTATGACAGATGGGCGTTATCGAAGATAATTGTAGGGTCATCGAGCCGACATAGATTGGCCACTCGAAAGTACTTAATCGCCATACGGCGTGCTTCGTTGCTCGCAGCAATTTCAATCGAAACGCGAATTAATTAGCGCCATAATCACGGCACTTCGTAATAGGATCAAGGACGCCCAAAATTATTAAATGTAACACCGCCAATTTAATCCTTGTTTACTAATCTTTAACACTACTATTTTCTTTTGTATTGTGCACGAGATATTTTAGTGCATAAAATAAAAAAACTAAATTATTTTTCATAAAAATACTAATAGGTAGTCAACTTTAATATTTGGTGTTTTATATTTGGTATTTTAATATTTTAGGAGTTTATTTTTAGCGTTTTTCTAATTGCTGTGGGTATGCGTGATTATCTCGTTTATATTTCAACATATTTTTTGTTATATAATTTTGTTATATAATCAGAGACTCGATCACTTTAGACATTACAAACTTCAAAATTTTAGATTTATTAGTTTAAAGTTTCAAAGGAGGAAAAGTTTAGGATTTAATGTCATAAGTGTATGTTACAAAATTCGAAATCGAAAAAGTTCGACAGTTTGATCGTTTTAATTTTAACGATACGAGAATTGACAATTCCACCTAAGTGATTCAAGAGACCCAAGACATTGTGTGTGTGTGTGTGTGTGTGTGTGTGTGTGTGTGGCCGCAAATATAGGCATATCTTTTCCTACGCTGATACAATCAGAGAAAATATTGCGAATGTCTCGCGTCCCGTGAAATTTCGAAACGTCGGAGCTGGAAAATACGAGCGCGCTTTTATTTCAACGGCATTAGAATCGACAATCTAAGAAGTTGAGAGGAGATGGGTATATGCAATGTTGGATGCTTCAGCAGCCTCACGGAGATTTATATTAACGATTTGATGGAATCAAATGGCGCGTTGCCGTCACTGTCTCGGATTTTAAGTCTTTAGAATCTTAGACGCGCGCGCCTGGAAACTACACCTTTCAGGTCGCGGAGCATAACCGTCTCGTTCGCGAGATAAACGAGCTGTGACGATGAATCCGCTAATGCGTGTCATCGCGCGCGTTTTGCGTGAAGAATGGGGCGCAAGCACGTGACGCAAAAACTCAGGAATAAAGTCGTCCCTCGATGACGGCGAAGAGGCGAAAAGGGCAAGCCGATCGATGATTGTCCGTTAGGAGAAAAGAGATTCATTTGTATTTTATAAATTAATCCGCTAAAGGTCGTCCTCTAATCAATGGTCTATTTTTGAACTGATAAAACAGGTCTTAGATTAATTAACAGATTCTAATATATCTTTAATTTTTTACCGTCACCTTCAAATTAGCGCTTAAGTTTTGTAAGCGGTGATGCAGTTTTAAATTCAATTAATATTAATTACCCGGCAATTTACGAGATTGCGGGGAAGCTTCGCGGTGAAGGACGCGGGATATCAGAAGAGAAGTAGAAAGAGCGCAGCAAACGGTCCTATCGCGCGTGGCGTCTCCCGTTTCCACATTGTTCTATTATACTACGGTGTCTTAAGCTCCGGATTATGTTACGAGCGTAATCCGATCGCGCGTGTCGCATGTTTCTTTAAAATTATGCCCCGGTACGCCACTAATATGTACTGTTCTACCGTGCGTTTATTATTCGCGGCACTCGGCGGAAAAAGGCCGCGGATAATCCTCTCGAAATATTCCCAGCTTTTCCCATTCTGTTACCGCTCGCGTGTTTGTCTAGTAGCTTAATTTACTCGAAAAGGTAATTAAAATTCTCGTTATATATTATTTACATCACTCGACGCAAACGTGTCTCGTTTCGTCGTTTTCGAGCCAAAAATTAAAAGAAACTCTCAAAGAAAGATTAAAAATTAAGAAATGCAGGGAGGGAAAATGAGTCTCTTTAAAACTCACCCAGAAAGCCAGGTATGGCACCCATAGGCATGACGAAGAGGCTGACAAGGAGATCCGCCACGGCTAGCGACAGCAGAAAATAGTTTGTCACATTGTGGAGTCTTTTGTCCAGTACCACCGCGAGACAAACCAATATGTTTCCCAGTCCACCGGCGATTATGAACACCACCACGAATAGGAAGCTCCAGTCGAAGCGATGGGTTATTTCCGCGCTGCCGGTTCTGGGCCGGTGCGAGCAGGACATGGCCAAGTCTTCGGCGATGTTCCGGACCGACGAGCACTCCAAAATCTAAAACACCGGATATTTATCGCCCGTTACATTCGAGACGGATGACTAGGAATTTCGAACGTGTCAAGATAGAAAGCGACAATTTCTAAACGTCGTCCCGGATTTGAAATATCGGCCTTCGAAATGGAGATCTTTGGACATTTCATCCTTGAACGGAAATCGAACAACTTTATCGCTTCGAAGGAGAAATATAATTTGAGATTCATAAGAGAATCTTAAATAAGTATTAAACATTTTTTACATTGAGAAAAAAAATTGGTTAATACGGTAAATTTGTATAGTTGTTGTTCACAACTTAAGTGTTCATTTTAACATATAAAATATGTTACCAAGAATCCATGCATTTACATATAAAATTGTGTTATTTTAACTCTTCGAAATAAATATTAACTTAACGCAGAAAAGTCACAATGACATAATGACAATATATCACATTACACCAGTGTATTATGTTAAAAATTTAACACATTTCTATATACACGGATAGAAATCCACTCAAATACAAAATATGTTTTTTACTATGAGTTGATGATTTATATTTTATTTCTTGTAACTTTTTTTATTTTTAACTCTTCATGTTTTTAGAATCCTAGGACACGTGGCTAATTTAATTCCGAGTAATCTTTCTATCTTCAAACTCTCGCAGGTTGAACTACGCGAATTTTAAATCTTTGAAAATTTCGATAATATAATGTTTTTAGTCTCGAAAAGGACTTACTTCTTCCTCGATGGACGTGGCATTACAATCCTTCATCGGTATCCTGGATAGAAAGACACCTTCAATGCTCTCGAGGTCGTTGAGGAGCAAGGACACGTTGACGTTACAACTCGCATAATCGCAAGGAGTACAAAATAGCGTCAACGAAGAAGTGGTTCCTTTCTCAATCGCTGTGCAAAGGTAATCGAATCCGTTGGACACGATGTCGCACTCTTCGACACAGCCCAAAAGAGTGTCGTTGCAGGACACCCGGTGCAGCAGCGTTGTCAAGTTACTGGCCCAAGATGTTAAATTGCCCTCCGGGACCAGCATGATGAGCCTCGGTAGAGTCCTCAGGATTAGTACCTCCAGTCACGATTGATAACACGTACGTGCGGAGTCCTTATATGCCGATCTAAAGTATTTCTGAAGGAAATTTTAAGAAATAATAAGACTTTCAAATAAATATAATATCTCGTTGCTCTTATATCTTTAAGAGCATCAATATCGATGCTCTTAAAAGATTGAAAGTTTAAGAAATATAACACATTAAATTACATAATTTAATTTTCGACAATTATAAGTATCAATTTAATTTTTATGTCTGCATAAAAATTTAGAAATCAAAACATAGTAGATACTTTAATACTGTTTAAATAGATTTAATAAAAAGAAATAATTTCCACTCGATAAAAACTCTCTAAATAACTATTTAGAGAAAAAACGGCCAGTTATCCAGTAAAAGAAAATCTCATAATTTAAACAATTTGTTTATTCTAAATATATAAATTGCTGTAAGCTCTTACGTTTTGACCGTACTTGGTCTTCTTCAGAGCATTTAAAAGCCAATATAAAAATAATAAAAACATTATGGAGATCACATTTAAAGCGTTGGAATAAATATTAAAATAGCGAAGGTCCAAAGTCAAACACGCGGTAAGTCAAAAATTTAAATATGATCTCCAATATTTTTAATATTATTTTTATAATTTATATATTGTCTATTAAATGTTCTGAAGAAGTCCAAGTACGGTCGAAACGTAAGAGTTTACAGCAATTTAGAATAAAATTGCTTAAATTATGACACTTTTTTTTTAACACCTTACTATTGCTCGATAATTGTCCGTTTCTTTTTTCTCTAAATTAAACAAACTTAATTTTAGCGGATTGACTTTTCCTTGACGTTCTCTTGTTTTATCCTATACTCTTCTTTAAATTATTATTGGAAATTGGAAAGAGCTTTGTCATCGGTTTCTTTATATTACGGGTATTCATACCGATTGAAACGTCGGAGAGGAAAGAAGAGCGAACTATTTGAGCGCTGATAGCGGGTAGAATCTTACGAACAAAGCGCCACTCTTGCTCGACAAACAGAGGATCGACTCGACATCGCGGCGCCGCGCCGGTTTGTCGACTATCGGGGACATCGATAAATGTTCATGATTGGACGCGTGCGATCTGCGATCCGTTCGCGGCTTATAAAATATTTCCACAGGCGGGTTATATGAAAGATGTCAATGCCCTTCCGGAGGAGAGAAATCACTATTTAATTGCCGGGACTTTGCCGACCAGATTAACTGAAGTATACAGGATATCGACAGTCCGTTTTCTCTACCTCGCGACAATGCTGATCTCCGAACAAATTGCTACGGCGAGCTCGCCTGTCAATGACGTACCCGGCGCGTGCTATCCGGGTTCAACCGTTACAAAAAGTAATATGGAAATCATAATTAAATTCTCGGCAAAAAGTAAACTTCTTTATTCTAGTATATTATAACTGACTCTTTCCCAATGAATTTTAAACATCGTCTCTTTCGAATTATTAATTTTGAATTGATAACTTAAATTAATAAAATTAATAATAAAATTAATAAATTAATGTGCAAAGTAAACCATATATATGTTACGAATATATAATGTATATTATAGTCATAATTTGTTTATATAAATTGCTTATTACTGTGAATTATTTATATAAATTGCTAAAATTCGTGATTGATAACACGGATTGAACTTTATACCGTGGAGTTTATTCTGGAGAGTCCATTTAATTGGCGTAAGCGAAATTTGTTCGCGTCGACTAGTATTTTAATTTAATTTAACTGGTAATTAGCATAATTAAACCGGTTATCGCGAGTGTAGAATTTTACGAGCAAAACTGAAAACCGGAAAAGGATTTCCTGTTTCCCAGAAACGAAGATACAGCTCTCCGTGCCAGGTTTACGCGAAAAGTTGATAACGATACATTAATGCAGGGCATGATTAATAAAGTTGATGCATTAATGCCGTGACGGAATATTGCGACGCGCGCGCAAGAGTGCTTGATGTATTTATATCTAAGAAAGTTCGCGTATCGCAATATTCAGCGTGTAAAAATAAATGTAATTTTCGCATGACATGCATGTAACATGAGTTACTCGTAAAGCCGAATATATGTGCCGCCATATATCATCTGCTTTGCTTGCTATATATGTTTTCATGATATCCAACAATATTTACGGGTAACTATAGAGCTATATATCCCCAATTAACTGAGAAACAGACGGAATTAAATTACATCAATGACAAATGTAATGACATAATTAATTATATAAGTCACTATTTATGTCGAATAAAATTGGAGATAAATGTATTCGCTTATAGATAATTGTTTGACAATAAAATTACACATTTATGGATAAACATTGAAAAATTGAGAGAACTGCAAAAGATGTTTACCGCAAAGATGTTGCGCACCATGGTTCGCAATTTTGAAGGGGAATTTTGTTTCAAAATTGCATCTGAGCTGCACTTATCGGTTTTTTGCAAGAAGCCGAAACGCTCCCTAAATGACTTGATCCGTGAAAGTGCATCGTAGTCATAGGCTGAAGCCGGCACCGATACGTTCGCACCAAAACGAGCGCGGGTTAACACGCGCTTGACATCGGAATCGATGGGAGAGAACGGGAGATGCGGATGTAGTTTATTAGCGGTCCCGCGTGGAAAGTGACGCCGCGACTTCACAATGACTACTGACACCTCTAAGGCCAATGACAGCGCGCTCCGTCACGAGTAATCGGAACAATCGTTAATTGGAGCGCTCAAAGGTGAAGGAGATATAGTCGGTGTTTTTGTAGTATATCATCAATTAATAGATTATTATCTTAAGGGAATATTCTGATTTGTAAGAAAAGTATTTTTCAGGAATTTTTTTGTATGGAAAAAAAAAGCGAATAATGTTAAACTTCGCATGTTGTTTTAGCTTTATTTTAAGAATATATTTTTATTTTTTAAGTAACAAAAACGATCTTATTTTCTATGTTAGGGTAACTCCGGTATATACACCGCACCCAAGGAAAACTTATCAAGTATTATTTACTATGTTTAAGGCAAATGAATTATACCAATAAAAATTTTATATTGTCTCCTACTATAAAAAAATTAGAAATATGAAATATTTATTCTTTGTTTTTAACAAAGAAACTTTTAGAAACCCTTGGATTTTTACCATATATTCTATAGGGGTGGGATATATGATCATTCATAAATAGAATATACGTGCCTTATAAAAAATTACAAATACTGTTTATAAATAAGACAATAAAATGTCATAATGAGGTATAAAATGCGTGTAAAAAGTTTATTAAGGTTTAAGAATAATAAATTATAAAACTGAAAGATTTTAAAAAGAAAATAGACGAACGATAGAAGGTTATTGTTATACAATTCAAAAAAAGAAAGAAAAAGAGCACATAAAAGATTTTTATTTTTACAGATGAGTGTCTGTACTATAGCATAAATCTTGCACGCTAAAAATGCCGTATATTCCAGGCAGATGGGATATACATATCAAGCTAAACAAAGAATAGTAGAGCTATGCACTTGCACTTTGCTATCTCTTATTCCACTCTTTACTATCTCTCTACACTTATGTATCATGAAATAACCATTACATTCCTTTTACATTCCCTACAGTAATTATTTTACGTGGATCGTAATATATATGATCGTGCTACTCACTACATTGAGAAAGCGATTCAACTCACGACGCGACGGCTTCGTTAATATTAATAGTGAAGAATTGAAATTACAACACAGTACTAATATGGCATAAAAGCACATAACAGAGTGATTGCGAGCAAATACCTTCATTCCTTCCATTTTTTCTGACTTCTGCGGCGTGAGTCCCTACGCAGCGTAAATACCGGAGTAACCCTATCTTGGTCACTAGGAGCATACGGATGATGTAAATAATTCTAGCTATTCTAGATATCTGAAACGCATAAACTAAAAATTTTCTGATTCAGGTCAAGTGCGGTCTGATCTAGATTAAACATTATACGCGTTTATTAGTTTTTATTCTTTTAATAAAATACTAACACAATTTTGAGGAAAAACTAAAACATTTTAAATAAAAAAAGCCGCCATTTTATCCAGAATAGAAATATTAGTTTAGTTCTAGTTCAGACGATAGTCACACTTCTCCTGAATAAGAAAATTTTTAGTTTTTGCGTTTTACATACAAAATAAAATAAAATAATGTTCTTTGTTACTTAGAATAGCTAGAGTCATTTACACCGTCCATACGCGTTTTGTCTTGCGAGTTCCTAGTGACCAAAGTATAACATAAGAAAGAAGAGCGTATTTGTTACTTAAAAAATAAAAATAAATTCTTAAAATAAAGCTAAAAAAACATGCAAAGTTTAACGTTATATGCGTTTTTCGTGTTTTCCTACAAAAAATTCCTGAAAAATACCTTTTTTTCTTTCTTACCGCTCCTAATTGTTGTTTACTTATTAATATTCTTAAACAGCTATAATATTACTGTGTGATTAAACGAAGTTTACGTTGAAGTAAATTTTCTTATTCTATTTTGAACACAGTTGTAGACTCTGTAAACTTGTCGTTCATTAAGACATTAGTCAGAAGCATTCTGAATATTAAAATATGAAAATGTATATCTGCAAAATCCAGTACAAGATAATTAAAGTCGTATCTGTTAATTGCTATTTCACTTGTCTTCTTTTAACCGTTACCACATTATTATTAAAGCTTATTGGACTTACTGGAATTAAGCATTAATATTGAGTAATCTTCTCATTAACGTGAAGAAATATTTATTTTGATCTCTTTAAATTCGCCGCAAATATCGGTTGATTGAAATTTTAATTATCCGATTTTAATTATCAGTAAAATATATTATTTATTGCTCCTATAGGTTATATATAATTCACAAAAATCATTTTTATTACGGCAATGCAATTTGATTAATCCTAGTCATAATTTAATATTATTATTGATAAATATTTATTCGGCAAATTTGTTAAAATTCACGAAAGGAATAAATGTTTTAATCATAACTAGTAAATCATAACTTATTAAATAGTAAATCAAGACAATAATTTTTCTGTTCAAAATTAAAAATATGTTACATATTTTTAACTTCAGAATTTCCCGGATTCCTCGAATAGATAAGTTAATTTTTAATAATATACGCGGCGCTTCGCGCTAATAATCGATTTTTTTTCGATAGAATGACGTCATCAATCGCAATGATTCACGTTAATTTTGTCGAGAGAGAGAAAGAAAGAGCAGATTCCGAGAAATGGTCGCTAGTAATTCAGTTATTTCGGCTTTTTATGGTCAAAAACCAGAATTTATTACTTCACATTTAAGTCTACAGTATTTTTTGGTCTATATATGTCCTTTTATTGAACAGAAAATTCGTAATATTAACAAGTAAATTAAACATGCAAGTAAACTGAAACACGCAAGTAAAATAAAATGCAAAGTAAAATAAAATAAAAACTAAGAAAAAGGGGATTATATATGAATAAAATAAAAAGCAGAAAAATTAGGAGATAAAGTAAGTAATGTTTTTTGTTATGTAAGAAATACCAAAATAGATCAGTCAAAATGATATAAAGCTTATTAAATTGTTTCCTGTCTTAAAAAAATGGGATGATATTAAAGCAGTCTTGGGTTGTCCTATGCGATTCAGTAGCTAATAAGAAATGTCGGACTTCCGCCAAATGTAAACGGCTTATACGAGAAGACTCAGGGTTTTGTCACGGTATATGTTGCAACGAGATCAATAGCTATACAGCTATTGATCCCCGATAAAGGGATCGCGACTATAATCAGTCTCGCGCGTAGATGCGGCTAATCGAATTGCATCTACGTAAGTGATAGCACTTAAAAAATCACGCTCCAATGACGAGAATTTCCTTCTTCGCAACAAAATCACGCATGCTTAGCGTACCCTAGATTCTTCTAGCATCCTTCAATAGATTTTTATAGCATCTTGGACCTTATCTTGAAGCTCCAGTTTAACTTTTAAATCAAATAAAAATTCTAACAAGAGCTTAAATAATAATTCTAAGAGTAATAAATATAACAATATACTTTGTTAGATTTAATAACTATATTCAACAAAATATCTGGAAAAAGATGTGTAATATTAAAATATTATTATTTTAGTAAATTTAAATATTTTTTTTTCTTGAAAATCAAAGAATTAAAAAAAAGAATGTATTGTACGTCCATAAAATTTTTCAAAGAAGTTGTAATTAAAAAGATATTTATCTAGAATATTACTTTATTATTTTTATGTATTTATATATATTTTTATGTTTGTGATAAATGAAGCAGTTCTGCAACGAACATAATCTGTAAACGAATCCTGCAAAGAAACAGTATATCGCATTCGATCGATTATATGATGTTATACGATTGCACTTACTTTTCCAATTTCTACTGTTCGTCTCTCGACATCATTGATTCTCTTGTTTCGTTCTCGGTAAATAGTTCATTGTCTGAATTTCAGACACAACCGGCATTTTACACTTTCTTCACGGAATTTTTACTCGCGTTTCACACAAAACTGTGATAAATGTTTATTCACTTGTCTATGAGCTATTATCTTCATCCCTCCTCTCATAAAATGTTACGCCTTTTATAAATTATAATTTATTAAATGTTAGAAGTTTACAGAAGAAATCCAGCATTTATCAGGTTTATTCTCGCAAATTCTCTGAGACTTCGAGTGAGGCAATTTCCGCCAAAAATGTCAAGTAAAAAGCTATCGAAGGCCAGATGAGTCTATAGAGTGAATTTTCTCTGGCACTATACACGGGAAGCATTTTTCTCTGCCTTTTTAGTTGCAAATTTTCTGACAAACGTGAGATTGACATTTCTATAATAAAAGTTTAAGAAAAAGATTAATATAACATATTAAATATGATTAATATATTTTAAATAAATTACGATTTTGAAAAGATTACGCAGATAAACTTCTTTTTTGAACAATTTTGCCATTTTATCAAAAATTCAACATTTAATTAATTTATTGTGCACAATTGGAAGAATATATTTTATTGGAAATATTATTTAATTGTTTATTTAATTTATATTTTTTGCTGATACTATGTCAATTAATTTATATATTATAAAACAATTAAAAATGAAGAAAACTTACGAACAAGCTCTTAAGTTTAATTATATATTTAAAGATATATAATTATTGAGATTTATGATTGAGAGCTTGATTGCCAGTATATTTAATTTTAAACATGGCATTAACGATAATTCTTGCTAAGAAACCGCTGAAGGGGGTTTGAATTTCAGTATCGCGTGTCACCTTCGGGCCTATACGAAACTTAACCATCTATATCGAATTTGTATCGTATAATTTCACAGCACCTCGATATCTCAAAATGAATTCGGCCGATCGGGTTTATTAAATCTCGTGTGGCTCGCTCGATATTTGAATAGCAAAGTATCGACTTTTTATGCGTGACAGCTCAAAAAGTTCGGGATCCGAACAAATCTCGGTAAATCAACATCGAAATTGTTAATCACAGAGAAACTGAAACATATTTGAAGCTTTATACTCGATATTTTCATACTGGAAACTTTGTGCTATCTACCAGCAATGTCAATAAAGATCTGTGTAAAAATTATTATCAGTGATATATATAACGACAAAGTTCATTGGCATGATTTAACCAGTTATTAAGTTAACGATTTCAATGAAAACTATTAATTAAGAATCCAATATAAATTCACTTTATTTTATTTTAGTTTACAAAATTTATTATGAGTAATTTGTGTCATTTTTTTCTATTTGCAGTGCGAATAAAATTTTATTAAGTTTTATAACATAAAAATTTAGAAATTTTGCAAGTTAGACGAAAACAAAGGTTCTAAACGTGAAAATTGACAAAGATTTCACTGAAAATTTGTTTTAGTGTGTAAATAATGCCGATCAAAATTACCATAACAAAGGATTAGCTAATCTCTTTAAAAAGTCAATAAAACAACGTATGTAATATGTAGCGATCAGGTATCTAGTTAAATTCAATTCGTCAAGCTCAACTTTTAGTAGAGTAATATTAAATTCACAATGTGAATGCCACGTTAAATTCACAGCATAATAAAATTGATAACTAATGCAAATAGTACAGTATAAATGTTTTATAGAACATACGAAAATTTACGAAGATTCGAACAAAATTGACGAATCAATAATAAATTATCAGACATTATTAAAGACATTATTAAACGTGCCTGGCAGATTATTTTTTACATCTTTACGTTACCAATAAACGTTTAAAAAGTTTACTATTATATGAAAAAGTCAATTAAACTCCGTAGAGAACATGTGACGTCTCTTTGTAACATTTGTCTCTAAGTATATTTATTAGAAATAATTGAAAGATATTCATTTTAAATTAAATTCAACTTTAATTCTTTTCACAAAATTCAGTTTTTTACGCGGAAATAAAATAAGTAACGCGACAACGGGGTAACAATCTGGACGAGATGCTCACGCTCGGACCGCGCGGATCATACTGAAAAGGAAGGCTATGGAGGCTGCGTGATGAGAGATGAAAGGAGAGACGAGAGCGGGATGGAAGCGAGACGGAAGAGCGGTAAAATTTGCGCGCCACCCGAACCTCCCTTTTCCCGTGTCTCCCCGGCCCTTCCGCCGTGTTTTTTCATTTTCCTTTCGTTTCCGTTTCTCTGCTCCCTGGCCCTGCACTCTTTTTTTCCATTATCACGAGCTTCCTCTTATTTCGTCACGGCAGCCGATTTCTTCTTTTCTGCCGAGTAATTTTTCCGGAACTTCTCGTGTTGTAGACGTGTCATCGCGCTCTCTTTTTCTTCTTCTTTTATTTCTTCGTTTTTTCGCTCCATATATACCGCCGCGATTTATGACCAGAATTTGCGACGAAAGATGACTAAATCTGAATAAAGTTTCTACATGAATAAAATGGCGAATTCACCCTCGGCTCAGATCCAAAACCTCTCTCCCTCTCCGCGGTTAGCAAATTACTTTGGAAACCGCGCGGCAGAGGTTCGAATATCTTTTCTTCGTGTTCGAGTTTGTTTCGAAGTTAAAATTGTGATAGTTGCTTAAATTGCTTCAGAATTATTTATTATGTCATAATATTACTATACCTGCAATTTAGTATTACCAGTTAATTTACGTTAACGTATTAACAACAATGGAAATATTAATCGACTCTACTGGCCATTATAATCGCCAAGACAATACGACCACGATTTGGTTCGATTATCGTCGTATAATAGCAAGTAGAGTCGATTAATATTACCATTGTTGTTTATTGTTTAACTGGCGAAGTAAAAGTGATTTATTCTATTTAACGTATTAACATTAAATTTGCAAAAAAATATTCCTTATAAATTTTTCAATTATATTTATTGTTTATTAAAATTAATTTAAAATGTTTGTGTATGTATATTAATTTTCTTGCATATTATTTACATTTATAAATAAGAACTTTTAAATGCAAACAACATATTGCTAATTTTGAAGAATCTCAGCGTCTTAAAGAGAAGAACGCTTTTGCGTTAACAAGACGTGCATTTAATTTCGCCAAGGAAGAGAACTTCCGAATTAGACAAAGCTGCTTCGTTAATTGCACGTTATTTCGCCAATTAAGAAACTTTTCCAACCTCCGGAAGCTTGAGCAACAGTATCGTGATACCTATCTTGCATGTATATTTATAGTAAAGTCATCTGGGAAAGTTTGAAAAACTTTGCAAAAATGTTCTAATATTGTGTTGTCTTATTACTAAATAATTTCATTATAGATTTTAATAAAATATGATAGTTATTAAACTAACTACGATTATTGCAATTAAATATTTTTGTAATGAACTATTAAAATATGTATGAAAGAAATTTTATAGATTATATAAAAGGAGTAATATAAAATTCAGAGTAATAAATGTTAAAAAGACCATGTGGGACTTATACAGTTTCGATATACAGGATTTATTAAATTATTACAGCTAGTTACAATACGAGAATACACGATTTTTACATATATAATATATTATGCATCCTATATATATATATATATATATATATATATATATATATATATATATATTTATATTTACTCCATGCCATTTACTTTACATACACGCACTTTCGCACTCTCGCGTCTTTCTTCCTTTTTTCTCTCTGTCTCTTTCTTTTCATTAATTCTCTTGTAATCTTTTTTACATACAAAACGGATTATTCACGAGTGAACGACGAACGATCATGAACGTACACGACTTTGTTTGCTAACTAACAACACGCGGCTTCAATAAATAAGTCAACCCTAGTACAATGTACAAGTTAGCAATAATGGCTTTTTCTCTCTCTCTCTTCTCTTATGATTTACACGTGTAACAGCTGCAAAGAACCATAACACTTCCTTTTTTATTTGTTCTTCTTTCCTTTGTCTCTAACTTTGTCTCTAACTTATGCTATTTATGTTCACCCAGATAGCCAAATGCTGTGAGTTTGCTGCCATGTTGCCAACAAATTAAGCAACTAATTTTGACAAACTCGGGACAAGGTGAGACAGCATTATGCTTGTCGGGTTAAACTCATATGAATTATATTTCTATTAACAGCAAATTGATTGCAACGTAACAGCATCAATTTGTGAGGGATTTGTGATAGCATGACATGTTGCAGACAACATAACGTATCAATATTGCAAACCGATTGCTCTTGAAATTGCGTCAACTGATTGCATGTATAAGCAGTCATGTAGCAGTATTTGTAACGTGTTCTATTTCGATGTCAGCAAATTTACAGCAAATATGTGAAAACACATGCAATGCATTAGTTTGCTCAATATGCTCTATCACGCTTGGCTATCTGGGCAGTGTAATTAATTAATTACTGTCCTATATCGCATGATACAATCATTCTGACAATGCATATCCGCATTACGTTACACGGCTCAATCACAACGACTTCCTGTTCGCACAGAAATACAATTTCTATTTAAACTGGGATATAAATGAGAGAAATGTGAGTTTCCAGGTGCAAAATGCGTTATATCAAAGAAGCGTAATCGTTTGCCTTTTTTTCGCAGTGATTCGTTAAATACAGAGGGTCCCAAAAAATGTCGCGTTAAAAACTGTAACTCTTAAAGTTGCAATTTTAAAATTCTCTCTTGTCGATAAAGTATTAAGTTAAATGTTTCATATCAATTACATGTAATTAATTACAACATCAAATATGCAACTTTACGTACATAATGACAAAATAATTACAATTTAAATTTGCACGGAAAATAATGAGATCAGACTTTGTGTTACGGTTAAGTTGATAAAGTTTGCGTTCTTCTGTGACACTCTGTATGCGATATGGTCTTCTTGTATTACAAGAAAACAATCTCAATATTAGAATTATAGAGACGGTATCCTTTATTGACTTTATTTATCTCTCTCGGTTTTGTGCGCGGTGTAATTCTCCCTTGTGATTCCAACAATCACAATAAAAACTGTTAATGATCTACCGCTTGCGATCATATAAAAAATATGCGCGCGCCCGCGGGCGAATATAAAATATACTCTCAGTATTATATAAGCCTGCACATATGCACACTCATACGTATCGCTTAAAACGATAATTCAAGTGTCGACATTCGACATTCGCCGCATCAATCGCAAAAGTTCGTCCCTTAATTAAATAACTACGTTCGTTGAACATGCACGTTTACGAAAATGTTCCTATTTTTTTTTACAAAAATAAGTTTAAAAAATTAAGAGATTTTCTAAACAAACAGCTATAGTTGAACAGTCAATAATTAAGTTACCGTATAAGATTAACTGAAAAAAAATATACAAAAGATATATTATATTTTTTAAATAATATAATATAATATAAACTTTTAATACAATTTGTATTTTAATAATATTTTTGTTAAATTTATATCTGTGTAAAAGAAATTAACAATTTGTCAAGTACTAATAAATTTTTTATACAAAGAATGTATTTATTTCGAAAATCTCTTTAAGTTTAGATTACAGATTTAAATAGACTTTTTTTTATTTTCGCGAATTTTATATATATGTACTATTAATACCTTTATCGAGAAGCATTTTCTTTTAGGAAACGGAGATATTGGCTTTGGTATGAGGAAATACGGCCGCATTTTCATCGCTCGTTTAACATTAAACGCGCGAAAAAAAGTGTAGACCACATACTTGATTATTTCGTCTAGATACAGTTCATAAATGCTAAAGTGATAAAAAATACTATTTTTTCTTTGCCTCCTACATGTATACATACTCACACACATACGCACGCACGCATACATACGTGTACAATTTTGTTTACAGCTTTTGTAATTTTGCAACTTTCCCCATTTTAATTAACGTCAATTTACCTTCACTGTCAATTTATCTTCGTTGCCAACGTGAACCGTTCATTGTTGACTTCATTTTGTTGTAATTTAAAATTAATATTCAATTGTAAATCTTTCGTTTAAAGAAAATTTGTGATTAAACTGAGAGATTTCATATAATTTAAGTTTACGTTTTAAAGTATAATTTTTCTTTGTATTCTTGATTATTAAAATTTCATAAATAGTAAAAAAGTAAAATATCATAAAGGCAAGAAAATATATCGTACTATCGTACTAACAATATTTAAAAGTAACTTCTAAAATTTAGAAAAAAGATTTTTTTCAAAGAATGTTATACAAAAGTAGAGATGTAACCATGTGTAACACTAATTATCGTAACAATCACCGCGATAACTTTACTTTTGGATGACGAAGTTTATCTGATGATTTTCCTAACTTAATCTTACAGCAAAAATCTTTGTGTCCGACGTTCGACGTTTAATTAGGCAATCAATATCAAACTGCTAATTATTTTAAATACGAGCGAGCCGAGATTATGCGTTTATATATTTCATTGCAAGATGCGAAAATCGAATTTTCGAACAGTCTTGAAAATGTGCAATTGAAGTCGATATTCCCGAATAAACAGTGCTCGTCGTCTTAACTTAATAATTGATTGTAAAATTGGAAAAGGGACATGAAACAGATTAATATTACAAATCTCATACAAGTTCTACAAATTATCCATAAATACATCTATGAATTGACATCTGCATTTCGAAACTCCGATTTTCCTTTTTTTTCTGCATATTTTTGTGTATCTTGTTTCGTGCATCAAGTATAATTAAATTATTGCATTAAACTCTTCTAAATGGATTTTCTAGAGTTTGACTCTTTACAAAATATTTCTCTCGTTGTCGGAAATTAACTATTGTAGTTTTCCATGCCGAAGAAGCGCAATAAATATAAAATAGCTTCTTTTATCCTACATGGTTTTACGATTAATTATTCTTTATTTATGTTGACAACATAAATTAGATTTTAATTCTGCAAAATTTATACGAGGAGCAAGAAAGCGCTGATCATCCCATTTACGCAAACAATCTTTGCAATGTGCACTAACATATATATTTACTCTGCATTATTAAAATAAATTGATAATATCCTGTGCGCTAGTGTAACTTAAAGACAGTGTACTGGCCATGTTTAAAGAATCGCAATAATGGCTTATAAATCTAAAGAATTTCATTTTCGGATTTATGTATATAAATCCCGTATTTAATTAATTGTGAAATAATTTCAATTAATAGCTTTAATTGAATTATGTGGTAATTAAATAATATTTTCTGAATTAATCTGTGATTTATATAATTGATTAAATAATTGAATTAATACCAACTTTAAAATTGTAATTTTTGAAGAATAAGATACCGAATTTTGTAGATTTCATCTGCAATAGGTTTTTCTTTTATTGTTAAAAATTTAACGATAAATACATCATTGGCTAGATTCTTGGATGTTCTTCCTAAAATCAGTCTTCTGATCCAGAGCGTAAAAATGGCGACGGTGTTAATGAAAAATTCGTGAATGTTAATTACAAAATCCGCCGCTTCCTCACAAATCAAAATTATCATCATGATTAAATAAAGAGCATGTGCCACAAAAATGGCTTAATTAATTATTTAGTTATTTCATTTGTTAATTGTTTCATAAATATAATATGTAGGCTAGCTTAAAAACAAACAAGAAAACTGTTTGCTCTTGAGAAACTTCAACTTCCTGTATGTATTTTTCATTACTTTCGCGACAATCAATACATTGCAAATCCAAGCGTGTTATTTTTACACGTATAAACGTCTAAAAATGACACATTAGACAGAAGCTCTTTTTACGTGTTTCTTTATATTAAATTACGTCATTTAATACGTTTAATCGTATTAAATTAAAAGTTAATGTGTTCAATTGTGTTAAATGACGTGATTTAAAATTTAAACCGGCAAGAAATGTGTAAGAAGAGTTAGTTAAAATGTGTTAGCTTCGGCTAAAATAACACTTGGATTTGCAGTGTAAAAATGACAATTGTTGAAAAAGAAGTTTCTCGATAACATTTCCAATTTACGTTGTTTTTTTATATTACGCAAAAATCTGAAATTGCACAAAAAATGTGAACAGCTCGAAAAATTTCTCCCTTATATACTTTTTTCTTTTTAATAACTATTACTCTTTTATCTTTTTCATTAAACTACTGTAATAAATTTTAATGTGCCAAAACGGTGGAACATCGTTATCGACATTTTGCGTTTAAGGGTAGCAATGATATACCGCAGCAATAAACAGCAATAACGTCGTTGAACACTAATGTCGTTTAAGTTTGTTGCTGCGACATAGCTACTATTGGCATCATTGGCGAAATTGTGCAACTTCCGTCTTGCGTGCGGCATGGTGGCGTCAAAGTCACTTGATCGATACGTGTCAAGGTGTCAGCGGAACACGGTCAAGCTTCTGTTTCGCCTTTCAGCCTCAAACGAGCGAAATCTTCGAAGATTATATCGTCGTCGCCATCTGCCTCCCTGAGAATAGATATATAAATCAGAAAATAGTCAGAAGAGAACTGCATTATATACTCTCTAAAATCTCATAGTGTCGCCACTAGGTAATATATTAAAGTGATTGCGATAGTTACTCCAAAAAAGAGGGTTTTCACTTTAATTTGAGTATATAAATACAAGCACTCATAAGGTAAGAGTGAATTTTTCACTCAAATTTTTAAAGCGGCTACTCTACCGGAGTGATACGATCTCACTCCAAAGCTATAGTGAATAATGATTCATTAAAAATAAACTAATAAATGACTCTAACTGACAATTTTCCACTCAAAATTGTAGAGTGACATAATTCACTCCTACAGACATTGATCTACTGCACTCGAAAAGAGTGCCCTTTCACTCAAATGTAGTGCGATTACACTCCAACTTGTAGAGCGCAATTTTACTCTTTCTGAGAATGGCGAATCACTCGAAGTGCACAGGCTCAATTTTCACACGTTTTGAGTGATATTTTACTCTCCGACTTAGAAAATATATCTATAATCATTCGTAAAACTTCAAATAAGGTTTTATCGATTTACTAATCACAAATTCATAATTTTTTCAAAAATTGTACTTTCTTCGAAATTGCTATGTTTTAAGTTACTCACGCATCCAATTGGATAAGGTTTGTGTCAAGCGGGACTTCCCCGCTTTCAGTTTTGTGCGTAGGGCTTGGTCGAGCTGTGGACGGCACTGGTTCCTCTTCTTCCGGTTTAGGATGCATCAGAATGAAGGGCAGTTCCGCGACTAATTCCCTATTGATCAGAATATAATAGTAATATTAAATAGAAGTGTTAAATTTGTTATTCTAAAAATTCTTAGGAAATTTTTGAAAAAATCTTAGGTTGGTATTAATAGTCCGGTATTATTTCAAGACCGTCTTAAGTAATGTCTTAAGATATTAATATGGTCATTAGTTGGATGGAATCTTAAGACTGCCTTTGACCAAATTTAAGACGATCTTAAATATAAGATCTGACTATATTAATACCGACCTTAGAATATCTTAGAGTATCTTAGAGTATCTTATTGTTAGATTGGTGTTGTCCGTCAAAATTAAAACCATTAACTCAATCTAAAAGTATTCACTTAGCAATACTCTTTTTACAGTTGTTGTAACAAAATTATTATTACGTTGAGTGACTGTTTTAGGTCATTCCTTTAACCCTCACCCCCACCTACTTTAGAATTTCATATAACCCACCTGGGGTCATTTCGGACCTCACTTTATAATTACTCATTTTATTGAAAAAAGGAGTTTTAATATATGAAACCATTTTTATTGAAATCAAAAGTAACAAAAAGTATAAATATATTTCTATAAAAATAACTATTCGGAATCATTATCTTCGATAAAATGTTGCTATTTTTAAGTGCTGCATGAGATAAAAAATGACCCCAGGTGAGTGGCGAGAGTTAATAGTCAACGTGTTAAATAAGTAATGACTAATCACTTACCCTCCTAGAGCACCGAGGCACAGTTTGACTTTAACTTTGTACTGGACAATTATGCCAAGGTTTTCACGCTGCGCCGGGTCAACCACACTGCGAATTATATTTACTGTTGTCATTATAACGCATTATAAACGATTAATGTAAACGCTACATGAAAGCTCATGCAAAATTAATTGTGTGTAATGGCGTCATGCACAACGATGGAAAGCAACACAAGAAAAGAATTGTAAATTAACTCGATTAGTCGCAAATAGATAGAAGCAAGCGGCAATTTATACATTTACAGTACTATTTATTTAAACATTTATATAAAGCAGTAATCACGTACATATCTTTTAGTCAAGCTATTCATACAGCTTCGCAGCAAAAAATGAACAATTTCTAATTTGTCCATGCAGGCACAATGCGGTGGCGATGCCATATTTTTATACGAGCACAAGCAGGAGGATGGGATTTCGGTTTAAACTTTTTTGCTTTAGGGGTATCTTACATCCTAAATCTCTTGGATCGCAATTTCCTAATCCTTCCGGTACCATTGGAAAATATATGACCCAGCGAAAGTTCAAAAAGTTTTATTCGGGGCAAAAAGAAGATAACAGAGAAGACGAAGGTTTCTTCTTGCAAAAACAATTAGTTATGTATTCAGGTCGCCGAGTTTAGTTTTACGTAATGCCAAAAGATAAAACGTTACGTGTTTTGTCAGAAAAATAATCAAATTTATTCTTTAAAATGTTGTATGCCAATATTAAATATTAAAATCATAATTCAGATTTAATTTTAGAACCTTGTCAATGTCAGAAAACGTCATGAAAATGGTATCGAAAGAATTAAAATCGGATCTCAGAATCCATGGATTTCAAGATTCATTGAATTTTAAGATCTTTTAATATTAAAAAATCCTGGAAAGCTATTGATCTCAAAATCTCTTCCGTTTATGGACATCCATGGATCCGGGTCTAAGAAATTCAGGATGCGCGGGAGGAACGATTCCCAAGTGAGTTTGAGTGCGAATCTCGCAAAAACAGAAATTACACGTCGTTCGACAATGATTGAGCCAGTCGCTCGCCATCTCGATCGATCGATCGTTGAGAAAAGCTTCGTTGCAGGCAGCCAACATGTATTTTCCGGCCGTTGTGTGGAAAGCGTTGCGCACGAAAATGAGAAATTCCCAAAGGTGTATATTCAGCTGCGCGTTGCGTGCGTGAACGACACGTGTGTAAAAAATATGCCGTCCGCATTCTCACTCCCGCATTTAGCGCTCGTTTGGAAAATTTTCCCGCCCGTGTTGAATTTCAGTGTTTCTTAAACACAACTTTTCTATTTAAATAATTTCTGTTTATGTTTAACTTCGTGGATAATTAATTATTATATACTTGAAGAAATTCTTAAAATAGTTTTTATAATAATTTATAATCTAATAATTTATGTGTCTAAATAATATTCTAATATTACAAAAATTTTCTTGGATTTTTGTAGAAATATTTTATTAAATCTATTTATTAAATATCTATATATATATATTTTTTAATTATACCTACCAAAATTTTCCCATACATGTTTACAAAATTCTTACAAGTTGTAAAAATTTTTTCTTATTTTAATAGCAAAGTTCATACAGTATACCTCAATACAAAAATAATATCCCTACAAAACTTTCTATTTTATTATTTCTCTCTTTTATTAAATAAATATGTATGTAAGGGAAACCGGAGCTCGTTGGCACAAAAGGCAAGTTGGTAATGCGTTCCGTTTATGTATTTATAGCGAAAGAAATAATGGAAAAGTTATCACAAAATATCTCTTTTATGAATGTTATGATATATATGTACTTTTTCCAAAGTTTTATTTAAATCAAAAAAGTATTACATTAGAAAAAGAGAAAACTCTAATTCAAGAAGTGGCAAGTAAATTTTCGAGCCTTTCAAAATATCGTATTAATGCTCTTCAGCATGAAAAGTAAATCAAAGTGACGTATTATTAGTTAAAAGTTTAAAAGAAAAGTTTCTGTTACTATACGACGTGTCATTTTGAGGAACAACAGTAATTTATTGTAAGAAAATGACTGAAATCAAACGCATGTAGGGATGGGGTATGTTAACTCATATGAAGGCATGCTTAACTTGTCTTGTTGCCGCGCGCGTGGGACCTGTGTGAGCATGTGATTTGCTACCTACAATGCTGATAGAAGCTAGATATATATTTATATTAATATTTTTATATTGAAAAAAGTCACATCTAAAATAATTTACAATTGTTTTTCTGTAACAGCATTTTGCTATTCGATTATTATAAAATAACTTTAAAAGATACAATCTTTATCAAGAAGTACATATCTGTTACCCGTTTTGTGTTTCTATTACTTTGTGTTTTCATTAATTTAACATGGACCTTTGTCGCTTATCCTAATATCGGGGCAAGTTGGCTACAATGCAGCTTGTTCGTATTTCACTTATTACAAAGAAACTATACAGTATACAGGAGCATACAGGAGCGTTCTTGGCATGAAAATGTAAAGAAAGGTTCTCTCTATTATATTAGTACTGTTTAATCATGAAAATTAGTTGTTTAAAAACTCAAATGCCGAAATTGTGAAAACGGTGCCAACGAGCCCCGGTCTCCTCTATAACACGTGTTTAAATATTCAATAGTACAGATCTCTGTCGTTCAATTGCTACGCGTCTGTCAAGCTGTTGAAAGTTTAGGAAACACTATATGTCAAGCTCCGGTGTCAAACTTTCATAATTTTTGGACATTATCCTTCGCGACGCTAAATGCGCGACCGAAACGGTACGGCGTATCAATGTCTAGACATGTGTCTGCATATGTGTCGCAGGCTCAATTTCAGGCATCGCGTCCTTACAGGGTGCTGGACGCCAAATTGGTGTCCTCGTGTTTGAGTTGGCCGTCGAGGGCGAGCCCCCATTTATCTTTGTTGTTGGCCAGAAGGGGTGTCAAGGTGAACACCTTGCTCAGCGTGAAACCCGGGCCCACCGGGCATCCCTCCCTGACATTTGAACACACAACCAGCATGAGTGTTAACGTGCTGCTATACCTACTTGCGGGCCGAGATCTCGCATCGATCAATTCGCAAAACGTATCTTTTTTAACATTTTTAATATTCAATATTAATTTATGTATGTGTATTAAAGGAGCAAAAAACGCATTTAGATACAATTTCCAAATAAATATTCCAGATAAATATATACACTTTCCAAATAAATTTGTTATCTTTAAATACATAAAAATTGTTTGATGCTAATCAAGATATTAATCGATATCTTGATTATCATCAGAAGTATTATAATATAATGGTTATCACTAAATAAAAATAACAAATAATAAAGATCAAGATATTATAATCAATATTTGATTATGATTTGTTATTTTAATTCAGTGATAACTATCATATTATAATACTCCTGCGCATCTAAGCCGAGAGAAGTTTCGCAGAATTTCAATTTTCTACCGAGCATATTATGATTTAATTAAAATATTTAATTAAAATACGGCAGTATGACACGTAAACAACTCAAATAAATTATGTTTTCTGTAACACTCATAAACCTCGTGATAGTACGATATATCAGCTTGTGCCTCACGCTGTGATACAGACTACGATTGCGAAAGACGAGAACAGGACGAGGGCTTCACAATACCTTAGTGCTTAATGAAAGGGTTACGTAGGGTGTGAGACATTTACAGTTACATATTAATGCAGAAAAATTTACTTTTAGAATTCGTAAAATATATTTTAGTACACGGAAAGAAAACAGAATCTAGAAATATATTTAATATGGGAAAGGGGAGAGAAAAAAGGAATAATGTGTATAGAGATAGATAAAGAGAGAGAGAAGGAGCTTTGCAGAAGAAATGAGACCACCACCGATCGAGATCCATACGTGATTACAGACCACCGCGTTAAAAATCCCCAGCACAAAATCACCAAGAAAATGCTGCCATTCCATTTTTTACTTTTTTGCATTAATAAAAAAAAAGGAATGAACGAGGAGGCTGGTCTTGTCCTTTAATATTTCTTATCAATTTTGTAATTTTTCTTATTAAGATCAACTTATTAACGAAAAGCAAAGTAGTTGATGTCTTGAATGAAAAAGAATTCAACCAAATTTAATTCTTTATTTTATTTTTTTATAAGCAAATTGATTGATTTTTAAATTATATTACTTTATGTGTTTAAAGACTCGATTTTTTGCATATTTTAGTTATAGAGTAACGACTTTTTTATGTTATAATATCTGAAAGACTATTGAGATTAATGTAATCTAATTTAAAAGCTGTTAAAACGATCTAGTCTAGTATCTCAGCAAATTTTGTCTCTCTCAATAACATTGTAAAGCTATTCTAAAAAGCAATTTGATAGCATCTTACTACGCTTCGTCTTTTATAGCACTTGAACACGATGAGTTCCTATAAAATCCGGACATTCGCCATGAGATATCGTAACGATCGTAGTCGGCGAACCGTATTCGGCTTCCAGCCTCCGTCATTTCTTTTTTTTCTTCCTTAGTACCCGGCAGAGAAGGTGAGAGAGTAATGAGGGAAACAGCGAGCTCTTTAATCTCGCACTCACATTGTACTAGACGCGAGATTGGTGTCCTCGTGTTTAAGCTGACCATCTAGAGCAAGACCCCGCTTGTCTTTGTTCTCGGCAAGCGTCGGCCTTAGAGAAAACACCTTACTCAGGGTGAATCCTGGCGCTACCCCTATACTGCCAGTGCAATAATTTTATTTTCCTGCTCGTTACAGTCTTGTTTATCGCATGTTATCGCGCTCCCCCCCCCCGCCTCACTGTATGCTAAAAAAACTTTGACGCAATTCAAGCTGGTCACCATCGTCAGAGACCCGCCGAGTCTCAAAATCTTATAGATATATATCTAACGATGCTTCGCAAATAGATGCTTAGAGTATGGATCGTTAAAAACGCTAAATTTATTGCCTGAATTATAAAAAGTTTTAAATTAGCTTACTGAATTAAAAAACGTTAATTTCCAACTAAGACTATTTATATGATGGCGATTAAAAAGCGGTTTTTGAGAATCTTCGTGACTTATAAATTAAAGAATTTTGTATCTAATGTTAAACAATTATTTTCTTTATTTCCTAAGAAAAATTAAATAAAATATTTATTTAAAATCTTTAAGAGTTACAGAAATTAAAGTTAAAGAGGCATTTATAACGAAAATTTAACTTTCATGAAATTCACGATTGGTTTTTTCGTCAAAACAGCTTTTTAAATCACATTACCCCGATTTATTACAAATTTTTTGGCGTTTTTTTGATATTATCCAGGGTGCGATATCTTAAACTCTTGATAATGAATGCGTGGTAATTAACTAAAGAATACTCACTCGCTTTCGGCTTCGGCGACGGTGCACTTGTATTGCGCCGTGGAGAACAGGCAGATATCCGCGAACTGCCTAACCGACACTTTTATCTTTTTCACAGTCCGGTTGCTATTGTTCGCTATATGCACGTTCACAGCTATGTTTTCGCCGTGATGATAGAGCTCCTTATCGAGGGAGGCTTCTAGATGCAGCTTGTTCGGAGACATCATAAACTCTTTGCTGACTTCCACTGAGGGCTGCTCGCCCTGCTTCGACGGCGCGTACATAATTTTCCTGATCGCCAGCCTCACGCAGCTCCTACGAGTGGAATTAGTTTCAACACTAATTACAATAAAATAATTAAGACCAGACTTATTTGTTGTTTTAGTAATCAAAATATTAATTTTTATATTAAAACAAGAGTTGAAATATTAAGAAAAAAGTATCTTTGATGTATCTCTCTTTAATAGAGATTTATTTTACTCTAAAATGAAAAAAAGTTTCTTCTATTTGAAAGAATAATTTCTTTAATTTTGTATATTCGTACCGTTTGTGCGGTTTATCATCTTGCGTTTCACCTACGAACGCTTTCAGTTCGTAGTCTACACCGCAAGGTTTGCCGGTGTCACCTGGTGCCGGTTGCAGGGTAACCGAAGCGGGGCAGTGGGGTGGTAACTCGAAGTAAAAGGGGTATGCATTACTGCCCAACTTCTTGATCAATCTCTCCTGCAATCGCGTCAGCTCCCTGGGAGGCTGCGATCCTTGCAGCACTGGAAAAATCTGCTCTGCCGCTAGATAGAGATCCTTACGAAAAGTCAGCCCGAGAACGTCCAGGTCCTCCCTGCCGTACTTGAACGCCGCGAGAACATGACCGAACACTTTTCTATCCTTTATGTAGTCAGGATCGATCAGAACAACCCCGTCTATAAAATTATAAAAATATCTTTTAACATGAAATCCTAAGAAAATGCTTAATTGCATAAAATCGTTATATTATGATACTATGATATTATGATATTGTAATATTGTGATATTATGATGTTATGATACTATAATATTATGATACTATGATATTATGATGCTATGATATTATGATATATATACATGTGACATAATATACATAAATTAAAAATCTATACATTGTTCTTGTTTGAAAACGCGTGGACTAATTATGATAGATACGTGCCAATAGGATCAACATGTGTGATGTGATCGACGAAATCTCTCTTGCCAAGGTAAACCGTGATCTTGCCATTGAGGCTGGACTTCTTGAAGACACGTGTGGCTCGTTTGTTGACACTGTCTATAGTGTCCATCGTGGTGATCTCGGGGCCCACGTTGGCCCCTAACTCATTTGAGTCCTCAGTGTCTGAGAAGTCCGATTCCGAGCTCTCCCACTGCCGACAGAAATTATTTGCTAAGAAGTTATTAACGAAACAATTTATTAATAATTGTAAAATCACATATTTTGGAATTATCTCTTTAATATCATAAGATTGTAAAATTGTAAAATTTTCTTTTTCTTTTGTTAGAGAGTTTGACTATTAATTCTAAATTTACCTCTATCATATTCTCCCCTAATTCTCTCATTAATGCAGGTACTTTTGTTTAATTATCAGCTTATTTAGAGTAATTATAAAAATTATAGTATCTTTAACACTTAATATAATCAGAATTTAATCTTTAATTAATTTGAATTATTTGTAACTTAATTTAATTATATTATATAAATGTTAGCACAAAACTTTTATAATTTTTCGTCCTTTTTATCATAAATTTCACGTTTAACTGTTTATTGTGCACAAACTAAGTTCTGCAAAACAACGTTAATCCGATGTGTCTTTCTGGAAAAATATCAGCGTGTATTGCATTTCACGGATCCACAACTTTGTGTGCACAAATTTGCATTTTTCTTTATTTCGCTGCTGTGATAAACTGGTCGCTCTGAATTGAAATTACGTCGAAATGCAAGCGCGGTAAAAGATGGCGGAGCACTTCGGGACAACGCCGAGCTTGCACTGAACTGCTCCAGCAAATAGATGTCAATTTCAATCGGCGCTCGTATAATACTTAATACGATAATGCTCGTACAATAATTTGTACTCACGGGATTTACACACCGCGTGCCGGTATCGGTTACAGATACACAAGTGGCCAATTGTAATACGAGATGGATTTAATACCGCGTGCTATTCAAATAAAACACGAGAGAGAGAAAGAGAAAGAGGGAAATATTCTAGAAAATAGCTTTTATAAATTTTTTTCAAAATTTAGATTGGATTTTGCTTTGTTTACCGTGCAGACAGACATCAATTTTTACATTTCCCGAAAGTATCAAGGTATTAAAAAAAAGTTTACTCTTAAATAAAGTTTACTTTCAATTAATTGAAAAGTGAGCTCGTATTACCAATTTACACTTCTCAAGCTTAATTCCTGTCTTAACAATTTTCCCATTAAATTACTGATCAAATTTTCTTTGAGAGAAAATCGATACTACATTCATTAAGGCAGAGAAAGGTGAATTTCATGAGACATTTACTTTTATTTAATTTGCTGGCTGCTCAAAACTATTTTGCTATGTAGGATTTGTCATTTATTAGAAGAATACCTAGTGTGGTGCATTTTATATTTTATTTTTTTCTGTATTTATTTAAAAAATTATTCTTAATTTCTATTATTATTTTTGTTTAAGTATTCTATCAAGTCTTTATTTATTTTTTTAAGAAACGACCTATTATGTTTGATTAATTAATGAAGCAAATATTTCTTTCCTTTTTCTCTTTCCTTTAATGTTTTAATATATATTATATACAAGAAAATATTTAAAAAATATTTTATTATTATGTTGTATATTTTGGCGAATATTTAACTGAGAAAGAGACGGAGAACGTTGTTTTTCTGTAACGCCATATATAACCGAAAGTATGCGAGAATATAAGATCGTGCTGGATATCTAATGTCGATGAAACGGGTCAGCGGAAAGGAATAGGGAACTTGCGTACATATATTTGACGTCATTATGCCAAATGTTATCTCGGAGCACCGAAAATATGTTTCTTTATCAATCTGCGCGCCATAATCAGCGTCTCCAACTACGTATCACGAAGATAACATGAAGATTAGGCGCGGGACAAATTTCATCTATTTTGAGACTCGCTTATTCCACGCGAAAACATGAAATGTTATTACATCAAATAATTAAAGTTTTATTAAACATAAAATATAAATCAAGCTGAAATATTGGAATAACATTTAGTACGCTGAATATTTTAAATATCAAAGAAGGAATGAGATAACGCAAAATGTTAGTCTCTCATCCTCTCATTTGGAATCCCCATTCGTCAATTGTCCGCGAATTCTGACCGAATAATCCTTTTGAACGATTCAGGGCAAATTTTGCATGCTGGGTCAACGGACGGAAGCTTACGATTCATTTGACGTCATTCGCATGTTATCTGCGGTCTGGTATATAAATGTCTGAGCAGGCATTCTCGCGGTCGTTATCGCGATCCTCCATAAATCAAACAATCGTGAAAAAACCAATTACGCCCAGAAACACAAACCAATCGGTAAACTTCGTTTATTTTAATAAAGTGGCTGTTTATTCGGCGATGTTATGAGATACCAAATAGAGTAAGATTAATTAACTGAAGTTAAATATTTACCCAGTAAATATAGTATATTTGCATAAGATATTTTATTAATATTTATTTGATAATTTCAATTTATTTTTCTCATTTTGCTAAGTAATTGGAAAATAAATCGAAATTCGCAGAGAAAGTTATTTAATTCGCAAACGTTTCACTCTGCCCATTTTAATCGCGTTCAATTCCCTTTGCGTTTAATTCGGTTTTAAGAGAGTTGAAATGAAGGATAAAAAGAGCACAGATTAATTCATTCAGTGCATATTGCGCTGCACATTGCACGTCAGACGCAATCATTGGCCTCCCGTTTTTTCCCTCGCGAAGCTCTCACGTCGAGACGAGAGTGTCAGTCAGTTTACGGATACGAGGCCCAATTATTTTTTTCGTTTCGCATAGATAATCCGTTATATTGTTTAACGAGCTTTCATCGCGATTTCGGAGCCTGATTGCGCTTTTGACGGCAAATAAACGACGCGGAGGCGTATATTATATACGAACGATGGCGTTGCATTCTAAGTCGCCTGTAGTTTAGCGCACTTATACCTGTTACAGTGATTCTATAACCGGTACGAAACTACCGGGAATCATACTACTCAATCGCCGTTGACGTCATTATTCTGTATACACAGGGTGGCCCGTGTATACACCAGGATTCGCGCCGTGTTTAGCTCGTCTGAATCTGACCGGGGAAAACTGGATTATTCAGAAGCTACGTTATACTGTTTCCATTATTCCAGAACGCATCGAGACACACGCTACAATAAAATCCTTTAATTCCAACGTACGATCAATTCTTCCTTAAATGAATCTGATAAATCGCTATTTAATATGATGATATTAAACGTTTCTAAATTAAGAAAATAAAGGAGACATTTAAAATAGTCAGAATGGAAAGAATCTAAATGAATCTTCACGGAGATGAAATTAATTTTAGCATTATTAAAACTAGTCAAGAAAATTAGCGCTGCGACTTTTTGACACCCTGTATGTGACTATAAACGCCAGACGAACGATACGAACGTTTGGTTTTCGTACCTCAAAATGTTCGGCAGGTCTTGATCCCGCCGGAAATAACTTATTTACGCGAGGCACGAATTGCTCAACAAAAGAGAAAAAGAGAGAAAAATACGGAATATATGGAACTTTGTGAAATGTTCTGTTTGTCAGTAACATGGACCGTGTTCCGTTTATTTTAAAATTTAATTTTGACACAATAACTCATTCTTCGTTTTGCTTTACAATTGTTCCGTTTATGTATTTATAGCGAAAGAAATAATGGAAAAGTTATCACAAAATATCTCTTTTATAATATAAGTATTATACTTTTCCCAAAGTTTTATATAAATCAAAAAAGTATTACAATAGAAAAGAGAAAACTCTAATTCAAGAAGTAGCAATCGAGCGTTTCAAAATATCGTATTAATGCTCTTCAGCTTGAGAAGTAAATCAAAGTGACGTATTATTAGTTAAAAAAAACTTTCTGTTACTATACGACATGTCATTTTGAGGAACAACAGTAAGAAAACGACTGAAATCAAACGCATGTAGGAATGGGGTATGTTGGCTCATATCAAGGCATGCTTAGCTTGACTTGTTGCCGCGCGCGTGAGACCTGTGTGAGCATGTGATTTGCTACCTACAACGCTGTAGATAGCAGCTAGATATATATTTATATTAATATTTTTACATTGAAGAAAGCTACATCTAAAATAATTTACAATTGTTTTTCTGTAACAGTATTTTGCTATTCGATCATTATAAAATAACTTTAAAAGATACAATCTTTATCAAGAAGTACCTACATATCTGTTACCCGTTTTGTGTTTCTATTACGTTTTCATTAATTTAACATGGACTTTTTATCGCATAGCCAACTTACTCTACTATCGGGGCAAGTTGGCTACAATGCAGCATGTTCGTATTTCACTTATTACAAAGAAAGTATACAGTATACAGGAGCGTTCTTGGCATAAAAATGTAGAGAAAGGTTCTTTTTATTATATTAGTACTGCATGTTTAATTATGAAAATTAGTTGTTTAAAAACTCAAATGCCGAAATTGTGAAAACAATGCCAACAAGTCTCCCCTATCGTTAATGTGGTGAAAAGATTTTTATAATTTTTATAGAACGATTCCTTACAATATCAAACTAAGCAAGCTTTTAATTAATTTCAATATTCGCTACATATAGGTTTAAAATTGATGAAGAAAATGTTTCCTTCTAACTGTATATTAATGCTCGATAGTTCTTCTCGGATTTTCCTGGTAGTATAAATGGGAAATTCTGTAGTCGACGGGAAATTCTGCAGGAAATTTTCGCACACGTGAGGGCTGATAAACGAGCCGCTATATTACACAATTTATTAGCTATTATCGGACATATTGCGTGTGTGGGCCATGTTGCAAGCTTCTGCGTCGCGCGAGCTTTTGATGGGATGGTATACGATAAGTGATAAAGCTACGCTGTAGTAGAATACGCATATCCTATTATTTTGCAATTTGTCACTTCAAAATTACAATGCAACGAAATATCGGCAAAGCCCTTTCAAAATTTATGAAAAAGTAAAAAGCGACTTAAAGAACCTCGCCCAAAATGGGCCATTGGCGCACAACATTGAATCATATGCCATTTTGTAGGTATTGTTGTATACATTATTAGAAAAATAAGTTTAGGTTCTGGGACGGTATGCGGTTCTAACCGGTTCAATTACCAGTCTTAATACAGTTAATACCTATATTCATTATTATCTTCA